ATTATTAATGAGAATTCTCCAAACCTATAAAATTTAATAACACTTTTTAAAATCTTTATACTTATTTTGTAATGTTTTTTAACAATTACCTTGATTTTGTGCCAAATTGTAAAACTGTCTATACTAACTATTAAAAAACATTATATAGTATACTTGATTATTAAGTAACAATTTGTTGTATTTGTCTTATCTCTGAACTTACTTTACTAACCTATACTAGTAAGTTATTATTATTAATAATTGGTTAGGTTTTTGTATTAATTAGACTTTAGACTATTTAGTTAGTAATAATCATATACTAATTTTATGCCAATCACCTAATTTTCTTCATAGATCACTAAAACCAACTTTTTTTTAATAAGTAATTCAATTTTTTTTAATATTTTACTAAACTAATAATTCTTAAACTATTAATTAAATTTTTTTCTTACAATTTTTTGTCCTAAAAACAATACAAATTTATTTATATTTAATCTTTTAATACAACAAACTTTTATATTTTAATAAAATTATCTTTATTTATATTCTTTTTAAATTCTTTAATTTATATTTAATTAAACTTTTTTATTTCTAAGTAAACTAAGTATACTAAACTTTCTGCTTTCAACTATACTAATTTTACTAAATTCTAATTATTATATTACATACCAACTAATATTTTCTAAAAAATACTCTTCCTTAATTTTCATCAAATTTTACTAAACAATTTATTCTCTCTTATTAAACAAAAATATTCAGCTCATTGAGGTGATCATTTCAACATAAATTTCATCTTTAACAGACCAAAACTCATTAATTTATTAATATTTCTTTTTAAACTTTTATCCAAACTTCTTACTGAAATTCTATTAGTCAATTTCAGAAAATTTATGAAGTGTCCTAGAAATTTTACTTTTTACCAATCTTGAAAATATCAAATTTCTTTAAAGAAATTTGAAAATTTTACTGATTCTCTGGAAAATTCATTATTAATTTTGAAAAACTCAATTTTTCTTACTCAATTCTTATTCTTTTTATCTGCTCTTTTTATTACCTATATTATAAAACACTTTACCTATACTATAAATTATTTAAAAAACTTTTTCTATATCTCTGTTCTAAGCTATTTACAACTTTAAACATCTTTCTATTATTATTGCTTATAATTCTAAAATGAATCTACAAACTATGATCTAACAAGATCATTTTTTAGACTGGTTCAAAAGCTATTCTATCTTAGAAAACTCTTCTTTATCTACACTTATAATATCTGGAATCCAAATATTAGATTTCTTAAAACTAATTTTTAAAGATTTTTATCCTGATTCAATTATTAATTTTATAACAATCAACAAACTAATTATAAAAAGTAATTTCAGATTATTAATTAAAACTATAGCAACCAAAAAATCTAAATTTATTATAGATACAATTCCAAACAAAAATCTATATATTATTGAAGCAACCAAAATTCTTTTCAAAATTCTTCTTAATATAATAAAAAACTGACTTACCAAATTTACTTATATTCTCTTTTATAAAACAAATTATAAACAACTCTTTAACTCACACTATTTTATTTCTCTTTATTTAATTAAAAAATAATTTCAAATTATTATAAACCTCACAAAACTTTATCTATTCCTATATAACAAATACTAAACCATTAATTATCAAAAATTCTTTCATGAGTTACAATTTAATCTCATTTACTTAAAAACCTTTATATATATAAACCATATTTTAAACACTTCAAAAAACAATACTTCTATTTTACAAATTCATAATACCTTTAAATTCTATATCAATATTACTATAAATATCTTTCTTTAAGAATTTAATATAAACTATCATATTCCATCTTTTCACTTAATCAAATTATAATTTGATACCTGGTTTCAAAAATTTTTTACATATTACAAAAAACAATTTAGTAACATCAATAAATAAAAAGACTATAATTATATCAAATACCAAATAGTAACAGCAACTAATAATAAATACAAAAAACTAATTTTTTAAAAACCTGAACTACTAACTATTTGATTCATTTAAAACTAAACAAACTATGCTACCAAAATAGCAATAGACCATATATATACTTGCACCAATCTGAAAAAATATAAAATTCTTAATCCAAAAACAACTTATAATATCTACAATCTAACTTTTTACTACTTCAAACAATTCTTTAACACTATACCTATTTAATAATATATATCTGTCTTTAAATCTTTTTATTTTTATCTTAGTAACATTCTATATATCTTTACCTTTTAAAGAGCTTTATAAACTAGCCAACTAATCTAAACAAACCTTTATCCAACTAAACAATACATCTACTAATCCTAAATATATATATATATATTTTTTTATTATCTTAAAACTTATTTTAAATTTATAACAATAAACAATAAAATTATTAATCTCAATCTTAAAGAAATATTAAACAAAATCTTCTCTCAAACAAGCAATTTACAAATCTTAACCAGAATTATTACTTATTATAATATTATCCAAATCTCTAAACCAACTATTACTCAACTTAAAAAAAATTTTAATAAGTCATACTTTGATCAAGTGAACTAATACATTATCAAAAACTCAATATTGTTATATCTATAGTATCAGAAACTGATTTTATTTATACTTTTAATATATTTAAAATAATTAATAAACTCAATAATAACCTTTTCTTTTAGCAATATCTATATATTTCTGTTAACTTTTTATTATCTATTTATCTATCCAATCTGTATTATTTATTTTAGTTATACTTTTACAATTCTATTAACTTTCTTTATCTATTTGCTTATCCAATTGATACTACTTTTTACTTTCTTAACTATATTTTATTTCTTATTTAATTTATTATACATTTGTTTTTTTTTTTTTTATAATGATATAATTAACTTCTGATAATATAAATAGTTAGTAAAATTTATGAGTAACTTACTAGTGTATACTAGAGTAATAAACATTATTTAGAAAATTTCAACTAATCTAGATAAGACTTAGTCACTCTAGTAGGTTTAAATTGCAGATAAATATGTCTAAGTTCTTATTCTTGCATATAACATTTATATTACTTAGAATTATAGTTTTATAGTTAATGATTTAATGATTAATTCTGATTGCAAGTGTTGGTCTTAACTATAACATATATAGAACTTCTTTTTGTATTTAGTAACTTCATGTAGTTACTATCTAATGATTATGAATAAAGATAAAAGCAAGGCTTTACCTTAATACCAAAAAAAAAAAAAGTAATAATTATATACTAATTCAATTTAGGTATATAATAAAAAACCTATATAGTGTAGAACCTTCAGGCGGACTACTTAAATTAGACAATGACTAAAGTTGTACGAGTGGCTAGTTGTACACTCTTTCCATGGTTGCCCCCTGTGGTTGTAATGCAACCATTAGCTGAATGTACTATCAATAAAATCCTGGGTCGCAAGTACTCCCCTAAATATTTAAAAAAAAAAAAACCTACAAAGTTTATTTTTATTTTGTAAAAAGTAATGTTCATAGTTGACTCTAATTTATTAACTTGACTAATTCAATATGTAAAAATCGGCTTAGCCGATCATTCCAATTGGTTAATCTCAAACATGTGATTTAAATGAATATGATTGGTTATTTATTAGGCATAATAACGATCTTCTTTAATATGTGAAATAATATATTACGAATTTCTCCGTCAACTTACTATTATAAAGTTTAGTTTTCGACTTTTCAAAAAATCGACTGACTTAATCGACCAAGTCGATCGACTACAAAACTACCCCAGTATCGCCATTAAATTTTCAGTTTCACGTGATTATCACCCAATAGCGAGTCTCATTTTAATGTAACGTTACACGATCTGGAAGATCAAAAATCGCCTACTTCTCAAAAACTTGCGCTCTAACAAAAAAAATTCCTCGAGTGATTTTACTATTATCCCACTAAAACCTAGCCCTATTATAAACACTAACCCTAACTTAAACGAATTAAAGATTTTTAAACACTGTCACGTGAAAGTGAAATTTTAACGGCGATACTGGGGGTCGGCTAAAGCGGAGTTAATTCAATATATGATTTACACACTGCATAAATTACATTCTTAATATTCTATATAACCCACTAACACTAACTACATCAAAAAGGTAACTCTAAAACTCGCTCCGAGGGGAAGATCGACAACACAACACATGCAAATTCAGGTGACATCGAAATTTGGTAAATTCGATTTGCAATCATTAACGCTAGACCCTAATCGGCTTATAACTAGGGTACTTGGTATATTTGGGCATACCATTTGGCTTAGCGTTAAATTTACTGTAATGATGAAATTCGAGTAATGCATTAGATATGAGATGCTATTGTTGGTGCAAATTTAGGCAAATAACATCACAAATTTTAGATGTACCGGTCAGCTCTTGGATCGGGTAGTTACCCCTTACATACGTTCACGGTGTCTATTCATAGGTAAACCTGTACTTTAATGCGCATAGCCATGCATTCCCGTGATGAAACATGGAATAAAATGAATTTATCTCAAGGAAAAAAAGCCACTTTTCAACAATATAATACATTGCATTATTACAATCGACTTTTACTTAAGTTCAACATTACAAAGTTGGTGAATTCGCTTTGACTTATTTATTTACGTAAAGGTAAAGTGCTGTCTATGAATATTGATTTATTATAATAAGCTATTTCTCGAAATAACCAGTTAAATAAAAAACGTAATTTTGGTTGTTTTTTTTTAGAAATTAAAGCTATCTAAAATTCGACTTTAAAGTTCATCCATTTGTAAGCATTCTTTGAAATTACATATCTTTATACATTAAGAACGGTTTATTCTGATCACCTTATTTTGTTCTCTTTAGGTTGTACGCTTAACAAATTACTTAATTGTTGTGTAATTCTTAAAGGTTCTGTACGGCGCTACACTAATGACACGTGAATTTAGTTTTTGTGGCATAAATAATTGACAAACTCTATATTTCAAACTCGAAGGTATTGGCACTATGTCTTCGTCTTCACTAAATGAAGCTGCAGTTGAAGAAGAAGAACTTTATTCCAGCTGGGCTTTATTGATCCAAATTGTTTTGTTAATTCTTGCATTATGGACAAGTTACTATTTACAAATAAAACAAATTCGTTCTATACATGAGACGGTTATATCAATATTTGCTGGTATGAATAATTTAATAGGGTATAATCTTAATTTTTCATTAAATATTGATAATTTATAAATTTATAGGAATGGTTGTTGGGTTAATTATTCGACTTTCTCCTGGCTACATAATCCAAAAGCTGGTCTCCTTTAAATACTCTTACTTTTTTAATCTTCTGTTACCTCCGATTATTTTAAATTCTGGGTACGAGATGAAAAAGGTAATCTTTGATTAAATTGCAAATATCTAAAAAGCCAAGCGTATTTACTGATTTAATTTATCAGGAGAGATTTTTCACAAATCTGGGGGCTATCCTATCCTTTGCACTTCTAGGTACTTTTATCTCTGCGATTGTAATCGGGTATTTATTATTTGCAATTAAGTTATTACATATATGTGAATATAACGGAACTTTGGGTCAAATTTTTTGAAAAATTCGTTATATGGGGGAGGGGGGGTTTTTTTTTTTTTTTTACTAATATACATATAACGGATTTATAATAAATTTTAATTTTAAGATCCGTTATATCACATGCCCGTTATATCTATAGTTGGCTATAATTCCTTTCCGATACGGGTTCCTTCACTGAATATATCTTTTATTAAACTTTATAGCATTTTGACAGCGATATTGGCCTGGACTGGAATAGATTCTCTGTCTCTTACCCTACTTGACTCTATGATTTTTGGTTCAGTCCTTTCAGCAACTGATCCTGTGACTGTACTTACAATATTTCAAACATTGAAAGTTGATCCACAATTGTATGCAATCATTTTCGGCGAGAGTATATTGAACGATGCCACTTCCATCGTACTTTATGAGTAAGCAAACTATTATATGAAACAATTTGAACCTTTTGTCAGATAATTTATATCTCAAATTGTTTTTTTCAATGCTTTTGATTATAAGAACTTTGAGGCAATACCGCGGGCAAGATTTTCATCTTACAAATATTTCTCATGGTATTCTTTCTTTTTTCGTCAACTTTGGAGCTTCCTTATTCTTTGGATTTCTGTTTGGAATTTTGAGCGCTTTGATATCCTTTATATTACTTTGCAGTTCATGCTTTTACATAATGTTGAACTTCCTAAAACTGATATGCATGGTGGACAGATGTTATATCAGTATTTAGAGGTTATTAGATTTGAAAACATTAAATTATTAGATTTATTATATAGCAGAGAAGAACTTGGTAGTTTAATTTTATCAGATTTAGCCGGGCATCAGTTTGTCAGGATCGGTTTTGGAGGTTCAGCAGTACTTTTATATATTTTACAATTCCTTAACTGGCATGTTTACATGTTAAAGTATTCAAAATTATACAAGTTTCCTGCCATTGAATCATGTATCATTGCACTGATGGCATATGCTTCATATTTGTTCTCTAATGGCTGTCATTTATCTGGTATGTAATTTAACGCTTGTTCAAATTTTATATATTCTTTATACTTTAAATTCATCTTGTTATTATAATGACACATTGTAGGCATCGTGTCTCTTTTATTTTGTGGTATCACGCTTAAACACTATGCATATGATAATATGTCTTTAACGACCAAGCGAACTACAAAATATATGTTTCGCGTTTTAGCGCAATTATCTGAAAATTTTATATTCATCTATCTTGGGTTAACATTATTCACTGAGAAAGATCTTGAATATAAGCCATTCTTTATATTTTTCACCGCAGTAAGTAAAATTTTAACAATTTTATGTATTACATTTTTCTGCAGCATTATTAATAATAAATTTCAATATAGATCTTTATATGCGTGTCTCGATATTGTGCCGTGTTTCCGATTTCTAATATGTTAAATGCTATTGCACGTTATCGTAAACGGTCAGAAATGCTTCCAAATAAACATTCTATAATGATCTTCTGGTGTGGTATGCATTATAACTTCATGTCTATATTTGTATTATTTATTAAGAATATCCCAATTTCTATATGAATATTGTGTAGATAAGATTCACCTTCTAATAATTATTTTTTCGTTAAGGTTTACGGGGTGCTGTGGCGTTTGCATTAGCAGCTGGCCTTAAAGGTGATAATGCTAATGCTATGAAAGCAACAATTTTGGTGGTAGTGGTACTTAGTGTTATCGTATTTGGTGGCACAACAAGTCGAATGTTAGAAGTTCTTAAAATAGAAACAGGTGTAGATGAGGGAGAAATTGATAGTGATGACGAAGGTTATAACGAATATAATAATTATAATCATGTGCTAACAAATTCTCAAGGATCAGTTGTTTCATCTGGAACTGGAGGTTCTACGGAACCTAATATTCCGTCAAGAAATATACCCACAAACATCAATAATGTCTCAACACATGCTCATTGGTTTATATCATTTGATGATAAGTACCTTAAACCATTATTTACACGCCAACATAATCAAGACATAAAACCGGAGGATAGGTGGCAGAAAGAGAATAATAATAATGATGAAATAGTTGGACTAAGCTCGGATCACACAATCACTAGAGTTTAAGATAGATTTTTGAACCAAGTCACGATTTCTACGGACACTTAACGTGATCAATTCGCAATCAAATCGCGTTACCAATTTTGCATCTAAAAATTAAATAAAATCTCTAGTTTAATATTTAATTACCTTTTAGATACATTTTAATTACTACTATGTGAAGTTAAATAGAGGTGGAAATTATAGAGGTGGAAATTTGTACATATAGTATTTTTTTCTTACTTGTTAAAAAAAAGAACAAAAATTTTGTTATTTATTAATATGGAATTACCAATAAATATTATTTGGACAATGAAAAAATTTGATCTAGTTTGTTTTAGATAGTTTTGCTATTGTCACTGGTTAAAGTGACATTTCCACTGTTCCACAAAAACGTGGCAGGAAGGTCACGATACCAAGATCGAGGCTGTGAATTTTCATTAACGATAATTTATATTTTGAATCGTATGATTATTTATCGTATTGTTATTTGTCGTACGATTATTTGTTGTAGGATTATTTATGGTGTTATTACACAAACGCGAACTAAAGGACTTTCTTATTACGCGTGGCAGTGTATATCGAAGTAGAAAGTGAAAATTTATAATTTCTTATATGAATATTAATTGTTAAAGTCTCTTTCCCTAAACGAATATCGTAAGGCTTTTCAGATAATAAGTTGAAGTATCCCTTGTATCTATTGTCTCTATATTAGTGGAAAATGAAAGTTATAAAAGTACTGTATTTTCGCTGTTGTAAAGAAAAGAACTCTTCGGTTAACAATTCAATCAATTAATACAATTACAAATCCCGAAAGTATAACCTAAACCTTTTTGCTAAATCACCACATCACGCTTCTGGCGAATTACCTAATTTCCTGCTTTATATTATCGATTATCGTTTGTCTGTTAAACTTTTATTACCGCTTTTCAAATTACTAAAAATCTTAAAATCGAAAATTTATAATTTAATATTACATTAGTTAAATTTAATACCCAGTTCTAATATTATGTTTAGAATAACTGTAAGAGAAAATTTTAATATTAGCCCAGTCAGGTTCAATATTTAGAATCATTGTCAAATTTTACTAGTTTATAGAATTTGACAATGGCTTTAAATATCAAAGTTGAACAGAACATTAGAAGGATATTGTACTTTGCCTATAAGTTTGTAAAGACTTTAGTGTATAAGATTAAAAAAATTTTTTAGCTAATCAACAAACTAACCATATATATAACTAATGAAATTAGTACAAAATTGGTTGGTTTTTATTATCTATACTTCAGGAATCTTTTTTTTCCTACTAATTATAAAAAAAAATTTAAACTGTAAATATTTGATTACAATAAATTACAATAAACTAGTACATTTTAAATTATTATAGTCACCAGACAATGTTTAAATGTCTTTAAAGTTTATTATTATTTTTTATAAATTATTGTTAAAAATAAAAATTCTAATGATTTCTCAACATAAAAACCAATTTCCTATACGTAGTAGTATAACATCTATTTATATATTCAATTATTATTAATGTTTTTGATTCAAAAAAATCATGAAATTCTCACAATTATTCAGCTTTACAAACAATCAGTTCTTATGTATTACTGGAAATAGTATCATAAATTTAAAAATTTTTGAAGATTTCCGTTCTATAACACTATCAAAATGTTTTTCTTCAATGAGACGTTCTAACAACTTAATGCTAATCATCACGAATTTCAAATGTTAATCGTTTCGTGTGATGAATATAAGTGCAAAAATATTTACGTAAAGACGTGTCAACACGTCTTTACGAGTGGATTTATCCAGTGACGTAACTATTTTTGAACCTATAGTGTAATGCTCTGTAAAGTGATTGTTGACGACACGTAGAGATGTACCTCACGCGACATGACAAAATTATTGCGCCCGCGATCTTTCGCGACTCTCTCGAGATAAACAAATTGATTAAGAAAATTTTAATGAAATTTTTAGCATATATTCTAAAATGAATTCTTATCATATGGGACTCACGAACCCGCGCGATAATGTCCCACGTGAGATATATGAAATGTAAAATTTATCTCGCGAGAGGTACATCTCTTGTGACACGTATTCGAATATATAGATTATACTGCAAGTAAAAATTTATATCATTTTTGAAATCAAGATGGGAAAAAGATAACATGTTAAACTATTAATTGCAGATAAAAGTTTCTTTTGAAAGGAGAACCGACAAAGTTATTATAGGTAATTATTTAAACAATACAGTACTATTAAAATTTCTCTTAAGACTTGGGGAAATCAAAATTAAATTGTATTCTTCTTAATTCGTAATTATTTCATTTGAATATTTTCGTTATACAAAAATCAAAACTCATGGTAATCCCTACCATTACATACCCAATTTTATTATCTTAAAAATAGTAATTTAAATACAAAATAATTCTTTTTACACTTTAATCCAAATTATTATATTTGATTGAATAGCAATTATATTTCTTATGCGTAAAACCTTTTCAAAAATCATCAGAACTAGCTGGAGATACAAATTTCTCGTCTTCACTATCACCAGCGGGCCATTTCTTACTTGGCTCATTTCCCATTTCCAATTCAAGGACTCCACCATTTTCAATATCTTTATGTCTAAACCAACTCATCTTCCAATCTTTATCATTAAGTTTTACACTTCGAATATATATATTTCTGGGTGTTAAATTTGGAGCTTTTATTATAAATTGGGTAGTTGGTGACATTTGGATTGATATGCTTGAAAATTGTGGAGAGTTTATTAAGTATATGTCTCGACCTGCTCTGTTGTTTGCAAATCCAATAAGTAATACATAATGAATATTAGTTCATTCAAAAAAAAAAAACAATTTGTTTTTAATAACTCACATTGGATAAATCCCTATGGCATGGAAAATGAACCAACTACTCAATGCGTCGGAAGCATCGTCTATAACATAATTTAGTAAAAAAAGAAAATATAGTTTAACTGTTAAGTGATCTATATTTAACGTTCACGTGGTCCGTTCGGGTATCTTTAAAAAAGATGGGATCCGTCTATCTGCTGCTATTTGTTTGTTTATAACTTCATAATAATTTCATTATAAATTTAAGAATTGGCAGATATTCGGATCCTATCTCTACTTTAAAACATTTCAATCCGTTATGCAGGCAAGATATCAAAAAACTGGCGATAACTTTATTCTTCATGTCAAGCTTTACCAAGTTATCAGTCAGTTTTTAAAAAGTTAGTTCCAAGTGAATTGAAAAGTTTTAAATCTCATGTTTTTTTTAGAAGACTGATCACGGTACAAAGTTATCAGTTTTGTTTTTTTAAAAAAAACCTTATGCATAAGTTTTTGAAATAAATCACGTGGTCATAAAAATATATACTACATCGTATGTATCATCATACACTCTACCCTCTTATAACGGATAGAGAAGTTTCGACCGTTATAGTAAATATTTGCTATAGCATTATATAGCATAATGGCATTTATTTTAAATTGTCTGGAGAATTATTCAGCTATAACGAGGTAGAGTGTATAACGCACTTTACATACAAAAATAAACAAAACTTACCAGGAAGACTGTCTATTTTAAACTTCTTTTCCAATATATCTCTGATAACACTTACACTTTTCCATTGCTTATTAATAAAATGATACAAACAAGGGTGAAAAAAACTGTGTACGTTTCTAAATTTGAATAATGGTGTCTCATAAGTTGAGTTAGAGAACGTTAAGTCAAGTCTCTTTTCAAAATTTGCAATACCACCGGACAATTGTATTAATTTATTCACATCTATAATAAGAAATCACATGTTAAAAACGTATTGGACATAATTAAATAACTGATAAATGAATCTAACTTGAATAGTGTACAGACCATGTGGAATGTCTAAACTATATTCCCATGGTGATCCTTTAAGAAATGAAAATCCTTCATGAAGCACATTTGTAGAAGTGTCGAATTTCCCGTCAGTACGTTTAGGTATAATAAATCCAGTGATACCTGTGCCATTATTAAATTAAATATTAGACAGGAAATATTAAATAAGTTAAATTTTGAATCTTTAACGAACCATTTTCAGTTTTATCGGGACACCATAAGTTCTGCCAACTATTTGCACGAGTTTTATATTTAATGTGATCCTCAGTTTTACCTAAACCTTTACAAATCGAGTTACATTAACAAAGTTAAATCACTACCTTACATGCCATGCCTGAAGTTACACATGAAGATCTAATATCAGGACTTAATTCAGTCAGGTGTGACTTCAGGTGAGATTAATAAAGTGTAAAAATCCAACCTTTAGCAACTAACGATATTGCATAATCATTTGTAGAATATTCTAACGTTCTACTACATGAGTCAGCAAAACTAGTAGAAGGTATGTACCCATAATAAAGATAATGCCTAAGGTTCATTCTTCCTTCAGCTTGACCATACCAATATGGATCTGCCTTAGCGTCTTTCAGTAAAGCTTTATATCCAGCTTCCCAATCAATAATATTCTTGCCGATTTCCTTTAAAAATATTTCAGCCTGTTCGATAATATTATTAAATATTAATTTATTAAAATATTAAGATTTACTTCAAGAATTATTGTAATGTTGAATTTTTTACCAAAATCATATCAGAATTAGTGCCACCTTGCGTAATTCCGTTGGCCATACCACAGCGCCCGTCAGGCATATATCCCGTGTAACGATATATGTCAATAAGCGAACGTGTAATATCGATAACTCGTTGTTGTTGGAACAACGTGAATAATGGGATTGTAGTTCTTTTATAATGTAGAATAAAAAAAATACTTTGTCCATTACGTTTGATTTAGGAAATAAAAGTTTGGAATTAAGGATATAGCTTACCTGAAGGTGCTTCGCTATTTAAATCGAATAATACGAAATAGGCATATTAATGATCAATGATTTTATGTAGAATGAAAACAATACAGGCATCTTATCCGAAGTGAAATTTACTATTGTGAAAAAATCGTCGTAGGTTGGTATAATTCTACCATTTTTATCAAAAGATATCCAATTTGGGTTTTCTCCCGTACTGCAAGAGAATGAATTCATTAACCATATATAACTAAAGAAAGTAAAATTTTGATTGATATTCACTTACCGATCACTTGGAATAATCATCGTTCTGTATAAATTCGAATAAAATATCTTTTTCAAGTCGTCAGTTCCACCGGTGACTTGAATTTTTTCAAGCTCTACTTCCCAAGCTTCAACAGCCTTTTCTCTTGTTAAATCAAAATCCCAGTTCGGTATTTCCTCTTGTGCACTTTTACATGCTTGATCCGTAGAAATAAATGATATACCAACTCGAGATTTAATTATAGATCCCTTTGTAGTATCAAATGCCATAATAGCACCAATAGAATAGAGTCCACCAGATTCAAAACTAGAATTTGATTTGATTACTCCATTCCAAAATGTATAATATTCTGAAGCATTTTTGTCAAATTGAGAGCAAAAATACACGGAATATTCGGGACCGAACCTCCAATCTTTGTAACGACCAAAACCTTTCATCTCATTTGAAGTTACAGAGATTGCACCAGAAACATATCTACCACTATCATCAAATTACCAAATCTATCAACTTATTATCACCTAATAAATATTAAGCATGACAGTGACTATCAACAATTAAAGTACTTACTGAGTATTTATGTGAGATAAATCAATCATTATATGAGATTCATTAATTAATGGTGGAAAAATATATCTATGCAATCCTGTCCTCCTACTTGCTGTTAACTCAACAACAACATCATAACGCTTTAATCCTATCCTGGCGTAACCAACTTCATAAGACTCTAATGAACGAAGTGAAGAGTAATCGTTCAAATTGAATGAATCCAAGGAAGAAACAAATGGGAATTGACTGATTACACCATATTTATGTTCACTTATATCTATATTCCAGAAATTATTTAAATATATAGATATATATATATAGAACATAATATGATTTCGGTAAAAAGATATTAATTAAAGGACATTTTGGTTACAAACGAAACATAATGAATATTATTTCACCTGATCCACTAACATGCAAATCTTTTTAGATTAAAAAAAGTAAGGTCATGGAACTTATTTCTTTGAATTTTTGATAAACTTTATTAAAAAAAAACATCACTTACGACTTATTCCTGTAACAGGATCATCCATAGCATACCTGTAAACCAATAAACATTAAATATAATCAAAAATTTTAAACAACAAATTATTTAAAAAAGAAACTATTTAGACTAACCCAGCATCACGAGTGTCAATTCCAACTTTTACTACACCAAATGGTAAACAAGGACCAGGAAACACATTCCCTAATCACCCATTATGAAACATCCAGTTGATAATTTTAACATAAAATGGTAACATTACAAACAGATTTAAGAAGAAAATTTAGCTAAACCTACCATCTCGAATACCAATTAAAGGATCAACAAAATTAGTTAACCATTCACTCTTTTCATGAATTTTTGGTTTAGCTGACGATGATAACGTATAGTCATAAGATAAATGACTAGGTGTTATATCAAAAATTGATATTATATATAATGATACAAGGACTAATGTTGTTACGATTGCATAAATATATACGGATTTAGTGGTTTTTTTTTTAAGCTTCCACATTTTCATTGTATCTCCAGCAATATTAATGTATAAGAGTCGACATAAACCTTTATACGAAAGAAAGAGTTTAACATATTTTCAATGGTATCTCTAAATCCATTTATAATGAATTCCCTGTTCATATGTACATGTATTACACTAATCCGAATGCAGAAAAAGTACGTACAGTTCTTAAAAAAAACAAAAGCGTAGTGATTCCAAATACTTAATTATCGTATGTCGTACGTGTGTACAATATATGTACACATGAGTTTGCACATACCAATCATCGTTTAGTTCACGTGACATATCAGATTAACATAACCAGTAATTTTTTTTATATATTCAGATCACCAATTTATGATTTTCCATATCGATATTTTTGTAACAAATGATTAAATCTAAACGACAACAAAAACTAGAACAAAAACAACTTCAAACTCGTCTTACCAAATCGTCATCATTTTCCACTAAAACGCCATTTCGTGATGCGGAAAGAAATTTTAAGTCACGTTTACCCCCACCAGATTTTAGCAAAGTTATTGACTTTGATAATTTAGAAAATTGCTTAGATGAAATTAAAAATAAAGTGATTGAAGTAGAATTAGCTACTGATTTAGGTGAAGAATACGAAAATTTGTTTGGAAAATGTAAGGATGGTGCATACATTGAAAGAAAAAAGGCATATTTATTTAAAGATTTACCAGGTGATTCATTATCTATAGAAAAATCATATATCTAGACCGGTTATTCTAAAGATATTAATTTATCCCTTACTTATTTTAGGATTTATATTTATTCCTAATCCATTTACACCAGATGCTCAAAAACATGTAATCAAACGATGTCTAAAAGATTTTACAAAACATCCAAATATTTCTAATCTTGATACTCATTATGTTTTACCTAAACAAGGAATTTGGGAACTTTACGAAAAGGTTTTCAACAATATATTGGATGAAAACGATAAAGAATGTTTCATTCCATTAAAGGCCTCTTCAATCAATAAAAATAATAACGTAAGATATGTAGACGATGATGAAGATTCAATTTTAATAACAGACCCTTCATTAGAATCCACAAAATCTACCACCACCAATGAAAAAAAACCAGATCCTTCACCATCTTCCACTGTTTCTATACTACCACCATCTCAATTAATCCGTAAATTAAGATGGATTACACTGGGATATCAATACCATTGGTCTACAAAAACTTATCATTTTGATCGTCGATTTGAATTTCCTCAAGATATTGGCGATTTAACAACTGCAGTGGTAAAAGCAATCGATGGACTTGGTTTTCCAGATGATAGTTTTATTCACAAGTATGATGTGACAAAATGGAAACCAGAAGCTGGTGTAGTTAATTATTACCAACTTAAAGATAATTTAATGGCACATGTTGATCGAAGTGAAATAAATATGGATGCTCCTTTAATATCTTTTAGGTATTATAAAAAGAAAAAAAAAATTTCATTATAAAACTTTATTTAATTATGTTAAACTTTGATTATAATTTAATCATTCTGATAAATAAATGCTTTAGCTTTGGACATTCATGTATTTTTTTAATTGGAGGTCCAACGCGTGACACACCTCCTTTTGCAATATATTTGCGTAGTGGAGACATTTCAATAATGTGTGGACCTATTCGAGGATGTTTTCATGGTTAGTATATGTTATTAATACTTTTATTTAAGGAAGAAAAATTGAATTCAATATATATTTCAATTTAAAGGTGTTCCGCGAATTCTCGAAGGAACCCTTCCAACATATCTTGCATCTAACAATTCAGAAGATCCAGAATGGGATATTTATGGTGATTTTATGTCAACAACACGTATTAATGTAAACGTTAGGCAAGTATTTTAATAATAATAATAATAATAATAAGCTATTTTTATTTATTTATAACACTACATAAATCACGATAGTATCTAGGTATTTTTTTAAAATAGATTTTGTACTTGTTTGTTTTAATTAAATTTTTGTTTAGAGAAAAATAATGAAAATATTTTTGAATAATATATCATGCTTATTCAAATGTATTAATATTTGCACTTCATTTTATTACACATTGGTGGAATATTTTAAAACGTTAGATAAATTGTTGCTTTAAATCATATACAGTATATTATTATTTAATTGTAGTCATTTTTGCTTTATTACTTTACACGCAGAGATTTTAGTTCATTAGGATTTATATTTCTAAACAATTCTCTTGACTAATAGAATTTCTTTATTATGCAAACAAAAAAATTATTTAAAGACAAATAAAACAGTTATCTGGAATAAAGTCATTCCATACGAATGAAAAGATATTATCTAACTGTTAAACTGTTAAGTAGTTTTTAAACAGATGAAAAATATCGACTTGTATTTTTGTCAGTTTTATGTTTTGATATGAATTTATCGTTCTTTGCCATTCGAAATGTTCCCTTTTACATCTATCGGTCGCTATACAATTGATCGAACACTACTCAATATGAATTTGTCTTCATTTTGTAACCATACATGAACATTATCTCTTTGGAAATTACAGAATAATAATATTCTGTTTTTTTTCACATACCTTTGTATATTTAGTTTAACAGATTCAAAATGAAAATAGAACAATGCGGAATAACTTTATATATTTTAATTAATTTAATAAAATCCTTGGCAAACTAATCGTGACTATATATTATTAATTTAAATAAATTTATATATTTAATACAGAAACAGAACATAAAAAAAAAATAAAACTTTTATTAATTGAATTATAAAAACAAATATCCTACATACATGGCTTGCACAAAATCCCGCGAGATATACAATCTCACGCGATATGCAGAATGTAGGTATGTATGTACATACATCTTCAATATCACTGATAGTTACCAATTTAAGACCTATAAGTTTTTCATCATACGTACCGAATTTAATTATGGAAGAATTAATACTAATGTAATTGAACGTAATACTGCCTTTGTGTTTCAAAAAAAAATCTTACAGTATAATTATTAAAATTATATAATATTTTTAATTTCATGGCACTTATATAATACTGTCCTGGACGTTGAAAACTTCAATTCTATTTTCTATTTTATCCTGTCCGTTATCCGCGTCCTTGTTCCATGACAACACCAGTCGTAAGTAAGAATGTCAATAATTTAATATAGTTATAGCTAACTGGTACATTGCTAATTAGATTTTGAATTGGTAATAATCGTGATCATTATACGTGAGTATGCAATAATTTTGGGCATGCAATTGACAACTTCAAAGTTGACTGGAAACTTATAGTTTATACTGCCGAAACATACCTCAATGGGTTATAGAATTAATTTTGCAATCGGGAAGAAATTGCACGAGGAAAAATAAAAGATTTAAGATAGGAATCAATGAAAACAAATGTAGAATTTGTAAAAAAAAAAATATATATATATATATTATGGAATGTTTTAATACGATGCAAAAATAAGAATCGAACTCCGGCAAGCCAGATTTGAACTAGCGACCTAGAGATATCGGTGTTGAGCTTTAAGCTCACTACAGTCTCCCGCTCTACCAACTGAGCTATTGCCGGTTTTTATTGAAAAGAAAATTTGTATGACATACAAATAAATTGATTTTCCGCCCTATTTGTGGCTTATGAGGCCATCGGATATTCTTAATTCACAACAAGCTCTCTTTTTTTCTTTTTTTTTAGGATAAGATACAGTAACGATACTTCTAATAACAAAAAGAATTTTAACTTCAACAAACTAGTTATAAACTAGTAACCTAGATCATCAATACTGGACCTTAACGTTAGGGTCACTACCTCATTGTGTTATTGCCGGTTTTTTTTAAGGACGTCCTGCTTTATATGTGGCTTATAGATTGCCAGATACGGTTAATTCTTAATCCGTAAATTTACCGATTTTGTACTATTAAAAACAAAAAAAAAGAAAAAAAAGAAATTCGAACTCCGGCAAGCCAGATTTGAACTAGCGACCTAGAGATGTCAACGAGTAAGCCCACTACAGTCTCCCGCTCTACCAACTGAGCTATTGCCGGTTCTTAATGAATAAAGTTTTATATTTTATATAAAGAACCAATTTCCCAAAATATAATATGATCACATAAGATATTCAATGTACTATGTTGATCAGATATGAGATTTTTTGTTTTGTATTGGATCAGGATGGTCGAATACATAGATTAATGGTGACTGTTAATTATAAATTCCTTAATTGCACCTTTTCATTAATAAGTTGGCCTGTTGGCCAAAGTTTTGAAAAAAATTTTCCCTTATAGATGACCTTTGGCTAACTACTAATAATAACAATTTCTTGTTTGATCGATGTCTTTTACGCTAAACTTCCTCAAGCATAGTGTTAGTTAGTATTAATAGTATCTAACATACTCTTACCAAAAATAGAAAACATTGTCAACTGTTTTTTGATATTCATGAAAAAAATTTCAATTTGTTCATCTTCATTATGAGGTGTGGGAAAAGCAGGTATTAGCAAGGTAAGAAGCTTTATTCCTATAACAAAATTTGGAATGGATGATCTTTTACCCAATTCTTGTTGCAAAGTCTTAAATTTAATGTTTGAAGCTTCGTATTCATTATTTGATCTTAAATGTTTGATAAGATCTCAGAATTGCTTTGAGAGTAAGTAATTTCTATTTAATTTCTGTCTTATTAATATATATAACAAGTTATTATACTTATGAACGATCCTCAATCCAAATTATGAAAAATTAACCATTGAACCTAAATTCAAGCTTCGAATTTAAGAGTTCGTCACTGTCAACTAAGAGTCTCAACTTGCGCTTGAAAAGGACTAGATCATTGTTAATAATCATACTTCCAGCAGTCAACTGTTCTTGGGCTTTTCTGCTTTCTGTTGCGTCAAAACTATATAATATATATCTGATACTTCTTGAAGATCCTTCTATACACTGTCCAACACGGTTTTCCAATCTTTTTTCTTGATCTTTGTACGATAATATTCCAGCATCTTAATACAAATACCACTTATTGACCGGATGTGGTGATAAAATTTCATTTTTTTTTTATGAGTTGACGTCTTGCAACGATACTTTATTCTTAGTGGCTAAGCACTGATTTCTAACCTACTTTTTGTGTTTTACTTATGAATTTGTAGATCAACAGAAAGAGTTTTTTGTGTGAATTACTTATAAGGATCATTGTTTTAATTTAATAATTGTGCGTATTGTAGCATATTAAAGTGAAATCAGATTAAAAATGAAATTTAATTGGAAATTTACGCGTCTTACATCCACCGATTTTTGACCAATCAAATTTAAGATCGGGTGTAACGTCAAATCGAAACGAATCTATTTTTTGAAATAACCTGAAATTTTAATTAGGAACCATCTTTAGCAGCCTAATTAAAAATATCTCTTGTGTAATTTTACTGATAAACTCTAAGTCGGTTTAATTTGTAATCTTGACTATACCTCGGTTTTAATTTTACATGAAACTTCAGTATTTTATCAGATAGTGTTGTTATTACACGAACATAGCATAACTACCAAAATCAGTTATGTACGGAGTTTTCAAATAATATTATTGATATGCAGATTTTCTGTAATTGAGTTTAATTATTAAAAAGAAAACCCAATGGTTTTTACGTATCTAAGTATTAAACCGTTGTTTGTTATGTTGAACTCTTAAATTGGGTAAATGAAAGCAAGTATAGAAAGCAAAAACGAGGAAAGTAATAGTGAGATGTAAGAAAATGATATATATACTGAGCGTGATAATTAAAATTTTAAAAATTGTGACTATCCATATGTTTTATAATAGCTAGTACTAAAAAATAGTGTGACTATAACAAGGTTATTGTGATTATATCAAGAGTGACTGTGTATAACGAGGTCTGACTGTATTTATTATAAATTTTTTATTTATTAATTTAATACCAATTGAAATGAATTCATCCATTTCTGAATATGACATATAGCTGAAGTTGGTTGGAAATTTTAGAAAATTATAAAACAAATCTTTTACGAAAAAAATCCTTCACAAGGTATAATATAATCACAAATTATTATTTTAAAATATTGATTAAAACTTCACATTGAATCAAGAAATGATAAATGATATAAAGAAATTGAAGCGTGCAAAGAATCTTCCAAGAATATAAAATTGACAATAAACAATACATTTTATTGCATAAATAAATGATTGTGTTCTTTTTTCCTTGGTATCCAAGCCGCAGGACGCCATATGGCGTACGAAAAACAATTGTGTTGAATTTTTGAATACACTATTAGTAATTTATTAGTAATTTGGATTTTTCTATAAAAAAATTTTATTTGAAATTTTTTCCACGAAAAAATGTAACTTACATCATAAATTTCTCACATGATAACATAATTCTGTATAGTCGAGATTTTAAAGCCAAAATACGAACAATAAAGTCCTAGAACAAGTTCTAATGTTATGTAATCCTATGAGAAACCTTTATATTTTTTTTTCTTAAGAAACGGAAACAACCGTTACTAAGCCAAGACGAATAATTTAAAACATATTCTAAAAAGAATAATTTCCTTATGGTATAATTGCCGAACGAATTAACCATAGGCTGACGTAGAACTGTGGAATTTATCCGATGACTTAAAGAATTATACATTATTATATTTTTCTAAGGGTTTATCACACTTTAATACTGAATTGATATAAATTTAAATATTGTAGTTCGTCATCTAAAGTTCATTATAAAGATCATTATAGAGTATTTTATAATGAAATTTATGCTCAAAAATTAACAATAGTTGATTATTTCGTTCGTAAATATTGATAAATGTAATTAGTCCATTTAAATGCTTTATACGTATCAGTGCACAAAACTTTTACATGATGTAATTTGCTATTTTTTCGGCAACATTTTTTTTTTTTTTTCTTGATATCAAAATAACGATAATTACCAATGAAATTTGTATGACGATAAGGAATGCGTATAGAAAATCTCCGATCATTATAACCTCCGACATGTACAATAGGACTTGTGTACACATACAGTACGTATTATCTAGACAAAGAAAAGCAAGAGAAGAGAGAGGAGAGAAAGAGGTGAAAGAGTTGCAGCTTTTTTTTTTAAAATATTATAATAGAAAATATACGTACAACTAAATATCACGTGGTCGTACACACATCTTTGTAAGGTAAGATTTGCGAAATAGAACAGTCTTTATAGTTGTAGATTCGTTACGCGTTAAATCTATCGTAACAGTAATGGATCGCATTTTATACGTCACATAATTTGTTTATCATTTGTTATCATTAGTAAAAGTGGGACAACAAAGTCATTGTCACCCAAATATGAACATTTTCAAATTTTAAAAAACAATAAAATTATTATTAAATACATTGAAGCGCGCTTGTATTCATGAAATGTATGAAATTGAAATATATGAAAATATAAAATTTTATCAATCATTTTATCTCCACATATAGTACATATAGTGCATTAAGTATAAAGCAAATTCGAGTTTGATAAATGATTCGATTAATATCGTGTCGGAAGGTGAAAAAAAAAGATTGATAAATTAGTTAATCACGAGATAACACATAATTAGCAACTTTTTAATTAGAAAATATCGATTGATCGCGTGAATGTAAGTCATATTCTTTCATCAAGACTTTGATCAATCAAACCGTTGATACTTTTCACTATCAGTACTGATTCTGATTTCAATATTGACATTTTAAAAAAAATCGATCAATTTTATCCAGTTACCCAGTCAAATACGCGTGTTTACTGTATACTCATATATTTCAATTGAAACTCAGAATGATTGATATATTGATTGATTATAAATCACCAAGAAACTTTTTATATATGGTTTTACATTACATCATCTTATATCGGCTTTTACTTTTACTACACCATCATGAGTTATTGAATTCATATATAAATACAACCACGATACACTTTGATTTATCTATGACTTTTCACCCATTCGGTTTTAACGTTCTCATTTCGTGACTCTTTTTTTCATTTCGTAAACTGTATTCGCTCGCGAAAAATTAATCATTTTACGTACGAACGGTAAAAAACGATAGAAAAATTTAGGGTAAGCGTTGATTTCTTCTTTATCACTAGATCATCACGAATCAAACTATCACTCGTATATGTAAAAAAAAAAAAAAAAGAAAAACTTTGATTTTTGATTATTATATAAATGGTTTATTTTTTATCACTTGGTTCTATCAAAAACATTATCTTTCTACCATTTATCAGTTAGTTTAATGATAAAGCTCTCTATTAATAATATGAATTTGTGATATTGAAAGATTTTTTATTATTATTATTTATTTATTTCGTTGATTTATTTTCATTCAAACAGGTAAACATTTAAAAAACCGAAACTTTTCATCAATTTGTCAATTTCAGGGGTATGTATAACATGAATAAAATTCATTTAAAATAATGTTAAAATTTTATTGAATTTATTCCTAATGTTTATTACAATTTCATATATAGCTTAAAGATTTCATATTTAGTTTATTTATTAACAATGTCAGACATTGAAAGTACTTGCTTAAGAGAAAGTGATTCTTCAAACCGTTCTCAAGACATGAAAATCGTCGCCAAATCTGAGGATCTTCCTCAATCAACAAATCTATTATCCCTTCACAACATTTGTAATATCATGCATTCGCAATCATCTCCTTCTTTATCACCTCAATGGTTCGACCCTTCTCCTATTCATCCTTCTTCTCCAAGTGAAAACTTAAAAGATCATAGAGATCCTCTTGAAGACGCACCTAAATTTAACGAACCATCTACTTCTGAAATGATCAATTCTACTGATTATATGAATCCTAAACCTAATCAAGATATCGTTCGTGATAATGAATCTCATCATGAAGTTATTCGTAGTAA